CGCATCCTTGCACCGCTCATCTGCACACCATTTCACAGCGTCGCTACGCATTCTCGCACTGCTCATCTGTGCACCGATTCATAGCGTCGCTACGCCTCCTCGCACCGCTCATCTGCGCATCGTTTCACAGCGTCGCTACGCCAATTAGCACCGCTCATCTGCGACCGTTTCACAGCGTCGCTACGCATCCTCGCACCGCTCATCTGCGCACCGTTTCACAGCGTCGCTACGCATCCTCGCATCGTTTCACAGCGTCACTACGCATCCTCGCACCGCTCATCTGCAACCGATTCACAGCGTCGCTACGCATCCTCGCACCGCTCATCTGCGATCGTTTCACATCGTCGCTACAAATCCTCGCACCGCTCATCTGCGCACCGTTTTACAGCGTCGCTACACATCCTCTCACCGCTCATCTGCAACCGATTCACAGCGTCGCTACGCATCCTCGCACCGCTCATCTGCGCACCGTTTCACAGCGTCGCTACACATCCTCGCACCGCTCGTCTGCGACCGTTTCACAGCGTCGCTACACATCCTCGCACCGCTCATCTGCGCACCATTTCACAGCGTCGCTACGCATTCTCGCACTGCTCATCTGCGCACCGATTCATAGCGTCGCTACGCCTCCTCGCACCGCTCATCTGCGCATCGTTTCACAGCGTCGCTACGCCAATTAGCACCGCTCATCTGCGACCGTTTCACAGCGCCGCTACGCATCCTCGCACCGCTCATCTGCGCACCGTTTCACAGCGTCGCTACGCATCCTCGCATCGTTTCACATCGTCGCTACAAATCCTCGCACCGCTCATCTGCGCACCGTTTTACAGCGTCGCTACACATCCTCTCACCGCTCATCTGCAACCGATTCACAGCGTCGCTACGCATCAACGCACCGCTCATCTGCGCACCGTTTCACAGCGTCGCTACACATCCTCGCACCGCTCATCTGCGCACCATTTCACAGCGTCGCTACGCATTCTCGCACTGCTCATCTGCGCACCGATTCATAGCGTCGCTACACCTCCTCGCACCGCTCATCTGCGCATCGTTTCACAGCGTCGCTACGCCAATTAGCACCGCTCATCTGCGACCGTTTCACAGTGTCGCTACGCATCCTCGCACCGCTCATCTGCGCACCGTTTCACAGCGTCGCTACGCATCCTCGCATCGTTTCACAGCGTCACTACGCATCCTCGCACCGCTCATCTGCGCACCGTTTCATAGCGTCGTTATGTCTCCTCGCACCGCTCATTTGCGATCGTTTCTCAGCGTCACTAAGCATTCTGGCACCGCTCATCTGCGCACCGATTCATAGCGTCGCTACGCTTCCTCGCACCGCTCATCTGCGCACCGTTTCACAGCGTCGCTACGCCTCCTCGCACCGCTCATCTGCGAACCGTTGCATAGCGTCGCTACGCCTCCTCGCACCGCTCATCTGTGCACCGTTTCATAGCGTCGCTATGCCTCCTCGCACCGCTCATCTGCGCACCGTTTCACAGCGTCGCTACGCATCCTCGCACCGCTCATTTGCGCACAGTTTCACAGCGTCGCTACGTATCGTCGTACCGCTCATCTTCGACCGTTTCACAGAGTCGCTACGCATCCTCGCACCGCTCATCTGCACACTGTTTCACAGCGTCGCTACGCATCCTTGCACCGCTCATCTGCGCACCGTTTCACAGCGTCGCTACACATCCTCGCACCGCTCATCTGCGCACCGTTTCACAGCGTCGCTACGCCAGTAGGCACCGCTCATCTGCGCACCGTTTCACAGCGTCGCTACACATCCTCGCACCGCTCATCTTCGACCGTTTCACAGAGTCGCTACGCATCCTCGCACCGCTCATCTGCGCACCGTTGCATAGTGTCGCTACGCCTCCTCGCACCGCTCATCTGCGCACCGTTTTACAACGTCACTACGCCACTAGGCACCGCTCATCTGCGCACCGTTTCACAGCGTCGCTACGCCTCCTCGCACCGCTCATCTGCGCACCGTTTCATAGCGTCGCTACGCCTCCTCGCACCGCTCATCTGCGCACCATATCACAGCGTCGCTACGCATCCTCGCACCGCTCATCTGCGACCGTTTCACAGCGTCGCTACGTATCGTCGTACCGCTCATCTTCGACCGTTTCACAGAGTCGCTACGCATCCTCGCACCGCTCATCTGCACACTGTTTCACAGCGTCGCTACGCATCCTTGCACCGCTCATCTGCGCACCGTTTCACAGCGTCGCTACACATCCTCGCACCGCTCATCTGCGCACCGTTTTACAGCGTCGCTACACATCCTCGCACCGCTCATCTGCAACCTATTCACAGCGTCGCTACGCATCCTCGCACCGCTCATCTGCGCACCGTTTCACAGCGTCGCTACGCATCCTCGCACCGCTCATCTGCGCACAGTTTCACAGCATCGCTACGCCTCCTCGCACCGCTCATCTGCGCACCATATCACAGCGTCGCTACGCATCCTCGCACCGCTCATCTGCGCACCGTTTCATAGCGTCGTTACGCCTCCTCGCACCGCTCATCTGCGCACCGTTTCACAGCGTCGCTACGCCTTCTCGCACTACTCATCTGCGCACCGTTGCATAGCGTCGCTACGCTTCCTCTTACCGCTCATCTGCGCACCGTTTCATAGCGTCGCTACGCCTCCTCGCACCGCTTATCTGCGCACCGTTTCACAGCGTCGCTACACATCCTAGCACCGCTCATCTGCGACCGTTTCACAGCATCGCTACGCATCCTCGCACTGCTCATCTGCATACTGTTTCACAGCGTCGCTACACATCCTCGCACCGCTCATCTGCGATCGTTTCACATCGTCGCTACAAATCCTCGCACCGCTCATCTGCGCACCGTTTTACAGCGTCGCTACACATCCTCTCACCGCTCATCTGCAACCGATTCACAGCGTCGCTACGTATCCTCGCACCGCTCATCTGCGCACCGTTTCACAGCGTCGCTACACATCCTCGCACCGCTCGTCTGCGATCGTTTCACAGAGTCGCTACGCATCCTCGCACAGCTCATCTGCGCACCGTTTCATAGCATTGCTACGCCTCCTCGCACCGCTCATCTGCGCACCGTTTCACAGCGTCGCTACGCCAGTAGGCACCGCTCATCTGCGCACCGTTTCACAGCGTCGCTACACATCCTCGCACCGCTCATCTTCGACCGTTTCACAGAGTCGCTACGCATCCTCGCACCGCTCATCTGCGCACCGTTGCATAGTGTCGCTACGCCTCCTCGCACCGCTCATCTGCGCACCGTTTTACAACGTCACTACGCCACTAGGCACCGCTCATCTGCGCACCGTTTCACAGCGTCGCTACGCCTCCTCGCACCGCTCATCTGCGCACCGTTTCATATGGGACCGATGACCGGGACGATTCCGATGGGACCACCAGCTTCCTTGCAGATCGGAGCATCAAGGTCGTTGTAGACGGTGCATGCTCCGACTACAAGCCTATTAACGCTGGTGTTCCACAAGGCTGTGTGCTATCACCAACGCTGTTTCTTCTGCATATCAATGATATGTTGCTAACTGGTAACATTCATTGCTATGCGGATGACGGCACTGGTGATGCTCTATACACCGTCTGTGCCAATATTTCTCGGGAAAACGTCGCCGAGTACCGGAACAAACTTGTGTCTGAAGTCGAGTCTTTGCTGAACAAAATCTCGGATTGGGGGCGACTAAATCTAGTCCAGTTTAATCTTCAGAAGACACAAGTTTGCGCGTTTACTGCTAAAAATAACCCCTTTGTCGTATCTCCTGAGTTTCAAGGCACTCCCCTTCTTGCCTCAGCGAGTATCGGAATCCTCGGAGTCGACATATCGAGTGACGTGCAGTTTCGTGGTCACTTGGAAGAGAAGGCCAAATTGGCCTCTAAAAACTTGGCGTGCTCAGCAGAGCGGGACAGTATTTCATGCCGGCACACCGCCTGCAACTTTACAAGGCGCAAGTTCAGCCTCACATGGAATACTGTTCCCATCTCTGGGCAGGGGCTCCCCAATGCCAGCTCCTTCCACTTGACCGCATCCAGCGCAGAGCGGCTCGAATCGTCGACGACCGAGCCCTTTCCGATCGGCTCGATTCATTGGCACTGCGAAGAGATGTTGCATCCCTTTGCATTTTCTTTCGCATCTAACATGGGGAGTGCCCTGAGGAATTGTTCGGATTAACCCCAGCCGCTAAATTTCACGCACGCACATTGCGTCAGAACTCCCGATACCATCCACACCATCTGGATGATTGGCGGTCCACCACTGTGCGATTTAGAAGATGTTTTCTTCCTCGCACGACTTCCTTGTGGAATCGATTACCATCAGCGATTTTTCCGGACCGATACGACTTAGGGACCTTCAAGGAAAGAGCGTACTCCTTTGTAAAAGGCCAGCAACGCATCTGCGATTCCCTCCATGGTGTTGCAGCTGTTCATGGGCGTCGGTAGTCACTTACCATTAGGTGAACCGCATGCTCGTTTGCCTCCTCTCCTTTAAAAAAAAAAGAAAAAAAAGGTATTTTTTATACGTGGAAGAGTCACGCTGCAGCTTTATTATGGTTGTAGCACAAATGGAACGGCTCAGCCGGGTTTGGACTACGTGCTTACAGTATACTAGCGTAAAATTGCAGCTTGTTGCTGCTGTGTTTTAGGTGAGTTCAAACCGGAGACCCTTTTACTGGAAGCGAGGCATTGATCTGATTATCTTAGTCCTCAGGGCAAACTGCAATTTGGTTCATAATTGAGTATAAATAAATGTAGATGTCTATGGGCCACAGCATCCACTTACCATTAGGTGGACTGTGTGCTCGCTTCTCACCCTCGTTCTCTAATTGAAAAATAGATAAGATGTGAGACGTCTTGCACTCGTCACTGCGATCGTCAGTTCCTCGACCAAGTCCTCCGATAAATGGAGTCACGTACAACAGTGGATACAGGCTGATATTGAAGAAGACGAAGAGTTTGAAACGATGTTTTTTATTCTAGCATTGGCCTATGAGATACCTCTGGAAGAGTTTCAAGGCAACCGAGGGGCAGCTGCTACGCCACCACCTCACGTACAGCGGTTGTTGCAGCTACCTAATGTTGATATTAGTTTACCTGACATAGAGGAGAAGTTGGCTGAAGCAGAGCAAAGAAGACAGTCGGTGAGTCGGTATATTTGAGCTCAGAAAAAAACCTCTCATTTTGAGTAGCTTCATATTGTAACAGCACTTTTGTCGTAGCTTTTTATATTATACAAATTTTGACGGATTCGTAGCGCAATGGCTTAGTGTTGAGCTGAGAGAGCGCTCCGAGCAGAGGGTTCGAATCCCGCATGAAACATGTATTTGTATGGCCTACGATAATTGTTCCGGGTCAGGATGTTTGTCCCTGTTCAATTTATGTATTTAAACTGCCTCTCCGTTATTTTAAAAAGTAATTAATTGTATTATATTTACGGATAGAAAAAGTGCCTAACAGCACCCAGCTCGATGTGTCTGGACTTGCAGGAACATAACGATAGCCGATGCAAGTTTAAAACTATCAATAAACTCGACAATTATTGTGTAAATCTGAAAATGAAATGGCTTTTATCTCATATTGCTCTAGGTAAGATCCACTGGTGCTTGGTGCCAGAAATAAGTAAAATTAGAAGGAGAAGGAAGGCTACAATCTTTGATAAACCACACCTACCTCACAACTAAAGCTACAAGAACATAAAGGAATTAGGCTTTTGACAAATATTTAAAAAAGTCTAGTAATAAATATATGTACATATTTTGTCTTTTCTTTCTTTTTTATTTAATCACTGACTATAACAACTCGTAGTCGGATTCAGCTAGTTTATACACAGGTTGTCCCACAAGTCGACATCAAGCCGGAATCGGGTGATAGGTCAAGTCATAATAGATAACAGAATAATATAGAAAAAATCTTTGCTAGGTATTTTTAAAATTACAGGCATTTATTAAAATATTTGGAAAATCCAAAAGTGCACGCCCCACATTTAATAGCGACAAAATCAAAATATTTTTTTTTACAGTCATTCTGAAAACCTTATTTTTCAATAGGTTTTTCTTTTAGACAATTATTAATTATAATTTTTAACATATAAAAACAGAGAATCTGATCGACTTTCATTAATAAATTTTGAATGGTGTTGAGTTCAATAACAAAAATCATTAGATATTCTCCTTACAATGTATAGAATTGTATTTAATACTATATATTTCAATCTATTGCTTACATTATATTAAGCGAGAAGACTCACCGACGCACAGACCATCGGAGGGCAGTCCATATATTTTTTCAATTACATTTTTTGTTATGTAATCTAAAGTGAATCATTTAGAAAATAAATGAATCTTATAATTCAATGTCTGTAGTTATTGTAACGTTAATAATAATATGGATTTGATGTCTAACTAAAAGCTTATGAACGATTTTATGTAGCGAAATTGAGGTAGAGTACAACATTCCCTCACATTGTGAGGCGTGCAAAATCGAGAAAATCTACATCCTGTGACGGTTTTTTAATTTTTTTTAAAAGGATAAGGGTGACAAACGAGCACACAGTCCACCTGATGTTAAGTGGTTGCTGCGACCCATAAAAAAACTCCTGTTGCTACAAATATTAAAATTTTTTTGTAATTTTCTTTTTATTATGTAATCATGAATAACGCTTGTGAAATCTGTTGCTTAAAATTTACAGCAAAACTCTCCAGTTCAGAAGGAAACGAAATTTTTCACCCGTTTGAAGTATTAATTTTGGTTTTACTTTACCAAGTAAACCAAACCAAAATTAATACTACGCCCAGTCTTAAATGACTGTACTGGAAAAAAGTACTACACGAGTTTGGCAAGTAACTTTAAAGGATTCCAAAATGTATATACAGATATAACACTTGCAAGATTATTTGTTAAATAATGGATTTTTTTTAAAAGAAACCAAGTTGTAAATTAATTTTCCTTACCTGCCTAAAATTATTTTTGTGTACCATAAGGCTTTCCTCTGGAATGGATAGGGCAGTCTGGTACAATCTCGTGGCCAGCCCGTTCACCTAATTTCAATCCATTAGATTCTTCAACCCGCTTACCGAGCGTGGCAACTATGGCAAATATGGGGAATATTTGCCATAGTTGCCACGGGACTATGAGCCAATCTACTGGGGAGGCCTAAGTCCACTGCTGTGGACTAATAGATTGAAATTAGGGTAAAAGTAGGTAATATCTAACTATCATTTTACGTGGTAAAGCCATGCTGCAGCTATATTAGTAGTATAGTTGTAGCCCGAATGGTTGGGTCGTCAGAGGAAGGACCACGCTCTCACAGAATACACAGTGTGGTGAGTGTAGAGAACCGGAGACTCTTTTACTGGAAAATATGCATTCAATCTTAGTTCTCACGGGTGACAACGCATCTAGATTTTGATTCGCAAACAAGGATAGATGTAGATGTCTATGGGCCACAGCAACCACTTACCATCAGGTGGACTGTGTGCTCGTTTGTCACCCGCATCCTATAAAAACAGGTGGACTGTGTGCTCGTTTGTCACCCGCATCCCTTATAAAAAAAAAACTAGATGACCTCCTACGCAGTAAAGAAGCACATAGAAAACTCATTTAAAAACACAGTCACGTCATATTTTTGAACTATTTTCATACAGATTCTTCAACAGCGGGTCTCGTCTGCTCAAAAGAGGGTACAGAAAATGAAATCGTATTACGACAGTAATATCTTGAACAATCAAGTACGTATGACACTGGACTGTTATTTGTTTTATTTTTTACCAGTTTTAACAGTGGTAGAGCCACGCGGCAGCTTTTGCTGTCGCACGGATGAGCCGGCTCGAACCGGGGTGGTACCACGACCTCACAGAAAACCAGCGTGTAGCAGAGATTTACCTCTGCATTTCGCTTGGTGAGTGCAGGTGGCCGGAGGCCCTTTTTATTGGAAATGAGGCATTCCATCTTAGTCCTCACGGGTTACAACGCATCTACATTTTGATTTGTAACAGAGGATAGATGTAGATGTCTATGGGCCGCAGAAACCACTTAAACTCAGGTGGACTGTGTGCTCGTGTGTCACCATTGTCCTATAAAAAAAAATATTTGCTTTAGAAAATTTTGTAACTTTTTACGTGGTAGAGCCATTCTGCAGCTATATTAGTAGTATAGTTGTAGCACTAATGGGTCGGCTCAATCGGGGAAGGACCACGCTCTCACAGAATACCAACGTTAAATAGCAGCTTAACACTGTTGTGTTTCGTATTGTGAGTGTAGAGAACCGGAGACCCATTTTACTGGAAAAGAGGCATGCCATCTTAGTCCTCACGAGTGACAACGCATTTGCATTTTGATTCTTTACTGTGGGTAGATGTAGATATCTATGGTTCACAGCAAGCACTTACTATCAGGTGAACTGTGTGCTCGTTTGTCACCCTATCCTATAAAAAAAAATTAGAAAATTAATTCAAATAAATAGAACAAGAAGACGAGAAGAACTGTATTAGCTACTGGTATCGCTGGTGATAAGAGGGCTGGTTCTTTTCTGGCTCAAAGGCTAAGTATAATAATAAGTCCTCTAGACCGGATTTCGCTCCCGACGACCAGTCTCAACGGACATTAGCCATCTGCACAAGACAGAATTATAGTGCCCAAGTGTATGCGCAAGCACAGGTGCATTCTCTATTTCCTCAATCTCATAGTCCAATGGGACGGTAATTCGATACGATAGGAGAGAGATCAGGCGCAGGACCAACGGCTTAACGACTTTCTGAGGCACGGGAGTGAATGAAACATCGCCAAACATGGGCCGCTACTGAGAATTTCTTAACAGAAAAAAAAAACAATAACTGGTTTTGGCTCTAGACCGATTTCTCCTAGGATTCGAACCCGGGACTTCATGATCTGCAACCGCGTTTACGACCACTAGACCAAAGAAACGCAGCCAATGTGATTGGCACTGTACCGCAGGGAGTAGGACTGTATGATAATTGACGTTTTTAATAAAAAATATTATTTAGATATTGTATATATTTGAATGTAATGTTATTTACATGGTCTTACATCGAATTGAAAAGTATAAAATATTTACACATTATGTTACACTTATGTTATATAAAAATATATTCTGAAATCGGTGGTAATACTTAGTGTATAGAAGGATTAAAGCCTCGATTTCGGAATGTGTGATGGAGTGACGACAGGATGAGACGCGGGGAGTCGCTATAGCATGGAGAATGATTTGTGGCAGTCTATAGTAGGGGGGACTTGTGTGATAAAATGTTGCTAGATTATGCGGTTTTCTCCCGACTTCCAAAATGGAGGCGGTACTCAATGCGACTGTATGTTTTTTTATGTGTGTTACCTCATAACTTTTTACTGGGTGAACCGATTTGGATGATTCTTTTTTTATTTGAAAGCTGGTACTTCTCGTGTGGTCCCATATGACATCAGATCAATAGTTTTTGAGTTATTCTTAATGTCTCATAGTGAAGTCGGCTGTACAAAATTTTTAATTTTTAATTATCAAAACAAAGGTCTGCATATTTTCTTCGTTAATGTAGTGGCAGTGTGGTAACATTTACTACCCTATATTGTCCCGTGGGTAGGGAAACTGAAACAGGAAGTGAGCAGCATTATCTCCTGACTACAACTCAAAATTATAAAAAACTGTGGTTGCCAATCCGCCTGCCAAGCGCAGCGAAATCCTTCCCTTTGAGGAAATCTTTGAGGAAAGGTTTAGTTCAGCAGTGGTCTTTTATAGACTGCTATGGATGGATGGATATTTTTTCATACGAGCTTATCATTCAAATAGACGAATGTCTTGTTGAGTTACTTGGAATTGCGAAATGGCTTAGAACCGAGCTATACGCGAGTACCACGTATGTAAGATAAAAGTAACTAACACTGGAATTTTAGTCCCTAAGAGTCCATTATAACCGTTTCGTCACCCGAACAGCGGATAATCAAATAGGAATATCCTCGTGGATACCTATCATGAGTAAAACGACCGTAAAAAAGAAGAACAAAAAAGGACCGTGCTGCGTGGAAGTCTTTGTGTGGATGTTCGACCGCGACGCTGTGATTTTGTCTTTGTTTGGGTGGTTGTTTATATGCAGTTTATGTTTGTAATTTTCTTCACAATACGAGAGAAATTCCCTGTGAAAGAGTTAACTTCTCTTAATAAATAAAAAATACTAATTTAATAAAAATACTAAATAATAATTTTAGAAGTAACGAAAAACGTTCACCCAAAGGCATATACGTTGTCATGTTGTCACCTCTGAAGACTAAAATGGAATGCCTTGTTACCAGTTAAAGCGGTCCCCGATTCTTGTTACTCACCATACGAAACGCAACAGCTTTATGCTACTATTATTGATAGCGTCTCGTCCGCGGACGAAGTTATCCATTCATGTGACCATAATACGGTAGCATCTTGGATATATCACTATTACTCTACAACTGTTATACATAATTTTTGTTTGTTTCCAGAATTCCGAGCCCAACAAGCACGGATCTAATACCTTGACCATCCCACCAGAACCAGGATTGTGTGAAGATAAAAACATATGATAAAGTTAAATTTAATACAAATTATTTATTTACTTATTAATTATTAAATCTATGTTTAATATAAATATAAGAGATTTAAGTTACAAAATGTACAAATTATTGTAATAATATTAAACCAAAAAAAATTTTTATTCACATAATATATACCAAGTATTACGCTAAGAAGTACAAAATACAGCTAAGTGAAATAAACCATCTGGTGTGTCTGAACCTCAGAAAATTCAACATATTTACTATTGCTCAAAAACAAATGCAGGCCCATGATCTAGAACGCTTTCAGAAGACCTCAACAATCATATACATGCAACGCTAGGTACCGACAATTCGGTCTTCCAGGCTGAATGTATTGATTCATAAATTCAGACGGCTATAGTAATAGATGTTAGGAAAGTAAAAGACCACTCTATTCTAAAACTGAAAGCAATATTAACTCGGGTCTAAAGCCGAATGTCCACCGCAAACTAAACTAACTTACTTTATCTTAGCTCGCATAAGTGAGCCAGTTTTTCATACATACATAGCTTAGCTGGAACAGTTTGCGGTGGACGCGCATGTATGAAAAACTGGCTGAGCTATGCGAGCTAAGATAAACTAAGTTAGTTTAGTTTGCGGTGGATTTTCGGCTTTATACATGAATGCCATCAAGGTTTAAATAACGTATGTAAATACAAAGATGTGACCTTACAATGAATCAAAGTCCACACTCCGATGTTACGACGTAGCTAAAGAGTTAGTCATAGAAGGATCGGCACTGAATTTTTTTTTTTTAGAATTAGAGTACTGAACGAGTACATAGACCTCCTGATGGTACCTGATTGCTATAGCCCATAGATAAGAACACAGATGTGTTGCCACCCTTGAGAACTAAGATAAAAAGCCTCATTACCAGTGAAAAGTGATCTCAGGCTCACTACACTCTTCATACGAAACACAGCAGCATTAAGGTTCTATACCCCTATATTTACCCTGAAATTCTGTAAGAGAGTGATTCTTCCCCGGTCGAGCCGACCCATTCGTACTGCAACCATAATAAAGATCATTTTACCGATTTCTTTGGGTATGTCCATTCAATGGTACGTAAAGAATTCATTAATTTACACACTCAGCTTTGGAAAAATCAAAAAGATTGCAGACAAGCTAAGACAGCAAGCTCTATCTGTTAGGTCGCCACTCGGCAAATACTTGGCTAAACATCTTAAAGACCACTTCGCGGAAAACTCATGGCTCGATTAATTGCATAATATTCCTGCCCACGCGCAATATACGTGATTTAGACGTGGAGTAGCGGAAAATAGGCAATAACGTAAAATAATAAAATAGGTATAGGAAAAGATGAATCCAGCACTTTATTTCGTCCCGTAGATATCGTGAGAAACGACTATAGATATGGCAAAAAGAGCTTTTGGCTTTCATTAGATGAAGATTTAACCATATCGTTTACGCCAGGCATAAAATACAGTACTTACTATCACAAGCTCAATGTAACAACTAGAATGTCGTCTAAATTATTTCATTAAAAACTTCAACCCCTTTTTTCACCTTTGGGGTTGCAGATGCAGTAACTGCAGTGCACCTGAGGCATAAACTATAGAATAAAAAAAAAGAATAATTGAAATCACTTCACAATTGGCGAAGATATCGCGAAACATGCATACAAAAAAAATATACAGGAAAATGAACCCTCATTCGCCTTTTTGTTTTTTTCCCCACGAATTTTTTTCCCACCAAGGCGGCGTCACTTAGGAATGAAGTGAATTTTTTTTATAGAACAGAGGGCAAACGTGCATGCTGCTTACCTGATGGTAAGTGACTACCGTCGCCCATGAACAACCGCAACACCAGGATCATTGCAGGTGCGTTGCAGGCCTTTTAGAAATGTGTAAGCTCTTTTCTTGAAGGACCCTATGTCATATCGGTCCGGAAAAATCGCCGGTGGTAAACAATTCCACAGAAAAGTTGTACGAGGAAGAAAATTTCTAAAAAAAACGCACAGTGGTGGACAGCCAAGCTTTCAGATGGTGAAGATGGTGAATTTTGACGCGATGTGCGTTCGTGAAATTTGGCGGTCGGAATTAATCTGAACAATTCCTCAGAGCACTCCCCGAGGTAGATTCGATATAAAATGCAAAGGGATGCAACATCCCTACGCAGCGCCAATGAATCGAGCCAATCATAAAGAACTCGGTCGTTGACGATTCGAACCGCTCTGCGCTGGTTGCTGTGAAGTCGAAGGAGCTGGCACTGGGGTGCCCCGGCCGAGAGATGAGAACAGTATTCCATGTGAGGCTGAACTAGCGCTTTGTAAAGTTGCAAGAGATGTGCCGGCATGAAATGCTGTCCCGCTCGGCTGAGAACGCCTAGCTTTTTAGAGGCGAATTTGGCCTTGCCTTCCAAGTGACCACGAAACTGCACCATTATTCGATATGTCGACGCCGAGGATTCCGATGCTAGCTTAGGGAGCAAGAAGAGTGCCCTGAAAATGAAGAGATACGACAAAGGGGTTCTTTTTAGCGGTAAACGCGTAAGCTTGTGTCTTCTGGGGATTGAATTAGACTAGATTTAGTCGCCCCCAATCCAAGACTTTGTTCAGGAAAGACTCGACTTCAGACACAAGTTTGTCCCGGTACTCGGTGATGTTTTGCCAAGAAATATTAGTACGGCCGGTGCACAAAGCATCACGAGTGCTGTTGTCTGCATAGCAATGAATGTTACCAGTTAGCAAAATATCACTGATATGCAAAAGAAACAGCGTTGGTGATAGCATGCAGCCTTGTGGAACACAAGCGTTAGTAGGCCTGTAATCAGAACATGTACCGTCTACAATGACCTTGATGCTCTGATCAGCAAGGAAACTGGTGATCTATTTGCACAATTTCTCGGGCAGCCCATAGGAAGGAAGCTTCGTAAGAAGCGCTTTGTGCCGGACCCAATCGAAGGCCTTCGCTTTGTCCAAACTAACGGCCAATGCCTCGCCCTTGGACTCTACTGCCTCCGCCCATCTATGAGTCAGGTAGACCAGAAGATGACCAGATAATCGACCCCGACGAAAACCGTACTGGCAGTCACTAATTAGCTGGTGATCCTCAAGGGACCTCATGAGCTGGCAGTTTATAATGTATTCCATTATTTTGAAGAACAAGGAGGTGATGCCGATCAGCATGTAGTTGGACAGCCTTTTTTAGGGATCGGGTGGACCAGGAGTGGTCTTGGGAGTAGGAGTACTGAAAAAGACGCGTTCAAACCGGTGCCAACACCGGAGCACACGTCTTCAGCACAATGGGAAGGACTTCATCAGGCCCACTCGACTCGACTCTCCAGGGAGAGGAGTACTTTGCGAACCAAGTGCTGTGTAAACCACACATCCGGCATGGAGCACTTACACCGTGGGATGGTTGGCGGTGTGTTCCCCCCGTCATCGAGAGTCGAGTTAGATGCAAAGAGAGAGCTTAACAGATCGGCCTCCTTCTTTGCGGCATGGACCAGTGAGTCGTCCTCTCTGTGTAAAGATGGAAGAGATGGCTGACAGAAGTTCCCTTGGACAACTTTGGCGAGAGACCAGAATGCATGGGTTCCAGAAGGAAGGTGAACTAACTCCTTGCCAATTCTGACGATGTTCTCAGACCTTGCCTTGGCAGTGACTCTTTTGAAGCTTCTGGAGGCAGAATTATACTTCTCTTTGAGAGCGCTGGTGTTTATATCCCGAGACGTTGATGCGTCATTCCAGGCCCGGTAGTACTCCTGCTTATAGCGTGATGCTCAAAAATGCATTATCTTCGACATCTGGAATCCGCGTAAGCGACGTAACCAGCTGTGTAAGACCACATGCCTAGGCAAAGCCATATACTGATGTCCCCGTAAAATCGGTTGAACGTGAACCAAGGCATTCGGAAGGACTTCATCAGGCCCACTCGACTCGACTCTCCAGGGAGAGGAGTACTTTGCGAACCAAGTGCTGTGTAAACCACACATCCGGCATGGAGCACTTACACCGTGGGATGGTTGGCGGTGTGTTCCCCCCGTCATCGAGAGTCGAGTTAGATGCAAAGAGAGAGCTTAACAGATCGGCCTCCTTCTTTGCGGCATGGACCAGTGAGTCGTCCTCTCTGTGTAAAGATGGAAGAGATGGCTGACAGAAGTTCCCTTGGACAACTTTGGCGAGAGACCAGAATGCATGGGTTCCAGAAGGAAGGTGAACTAACTCCTTGCCAATTCTGACGATGTTCTCAGACCTTGCCTTGGCAGTGACTCTTTTGAAGCTTCTGGAGGCAGAATTATACTTCTCTTTGAGAGCGCTGGTGTTTATATCCCGAGACGTTGATGCGTCATTCCAGGCCCGGTAGTACTCCTGCTTATAGCGTGATGCTCAAAAATGCATTATCTTCGACATCTGGAATCCGCGTAAGCGACGTAACCAGCTGTGTAAGACCACATGCCTAGGCAAAGCCATATACTGATGTCCCCGTAAAATCGGTTGAACGTGAACCAAGGCATTCGGAAGGACTTCATCAGGCCCACTCGACTCGACTCTCCAGGGAGAGGAGTACTTTGCGAACCAAGTGCTGTGTAAACCACACATCCGGCATGGAGCACTTACACCGTGGGATGGTTGGCGGTGTGTTCCCCCCGTCATCGAGAGTCGAGTTAGATGCAAAGAGAAAGCTTAACAGATCGGCCTCCTTCTTTGCGGCATGGACCAGTGAGTCGTCCTCTCTGTGTAAAGATGGAAGAGATGGCTGACAGAAGTTCCCTTGGACAGCTTTGGCGAGAGACCAGAATGCATGGGTTCCAGAAGGAAGGTGAACTAACTCCTTGCCAATTCTGACGATGTTCTCAGACCTTGCCTTGGCAGTGACTCTTTTGAAGCTTCTGGAGGCAGAATTATACTTCTCTTTGAGAGCGCTGGTGTTTATATCCCGAGACGTTGATGCGTCATTCCAGGCCCGGTAGTACTCCTGCTTATAGCGTGATGCTCAAAAATGCATTATCTTCGACATCTGGAA